CATTCAAATGGTAATCGCTATACTAAAGGAAATAGTGAAAGAGGAATATAGTGTAGTGCTCTGACCGAGAGGCCCGAGGTTCCAGGTCCGCGACGAAATAATTTTCGAATTAGCTAGGTTTCGAATATCGGTCGATGTCTGGAGCAAATTTTCTATCTAATTGCTGCTCTGGTCGTTAGTTTTAACCGTTTCTTCTCGATCAACAGTAGGTGAATGTCGGAAGCAGTGAATGGTCCGGGTGCGACTCTTTCTTTATCTTCCTTAGCCTAATAATTTGCGAACAGCAGAACACTGTAATTTAGGCGGCGGGGTAGTGAGGTCTCAGGAATTGAAGGGGCATGCGAGATTTTTGCCTTTCGTAATACGCTCTCAAGTCCCGTCAGTTCACAAAAGTGAGGTTATTTGTAATTTGTCTCGAGCCAAAGGTAGATTTTTCTACTGGGCAATACTTGAGATATTCCACCGGTTTCAACTTCTGTTTCATGATAGTGAAAAGTAATATCCCCAGGAAAGTGCTGACTGAACTAAGCTTTTATCACAAGATTGAAATAAAATTATTTGTTGATCCTGACGACACAATGAGAAGAAGACAAGCAAGTATATTTTTTCATCTGAAATCTATCACCAGTATAAATTTGCAAAAATCGATGTCTCAATACCCGATCTTATATAGCATGTTAAGGGTAAAAATTATCACTGCAATGCACCAAGTGGTGAAAACCTCATAAACAAAGATAACCATTAAACTTCTCTATTAATTGATAGGCGACTAATGCTTCACTGGTATTGCGGAGATACATTTTCTTGCCGAAACCCAACGGACGATAGCGTCACGACGAATCCGAGACATTCTCTGGCACTTATCTGTATCAAGATGATTTCTCACTAATGTCCATAAGCTAACAGTGATCATTTGGACTCTAGTATCTTTGACGTGACTCAGCACACATTGCTTTGACCCGAAGAAAAGACTTAAGTATCAGGGAGGAGCTCAGAAAACATTTCTGAGTGGTATCTATTAGTCCAGATGGAAAGAAGGTCGACCCAGAAGAGCAATGGCATAATTATTGTTTAATGACAAGCAAAGACGGGGCCTCAGAACAGAATAATGAAATGATAGATCTGACGATGCAATTGAGTAGAAGAAGAGCAGTGTCTTTTTTCAAATTGAAATCACGTCTCCAGGTCATGGACTACAGGTAATGTAAAAAACTAAATAGGCAATGCTGAGGGTCAAAGATGATAACTGTTAGGAATAATGGGTAATAGAGATTGGGATACGAAGAGTCAGACACAAGAACGAAAAATATTCGCAACAAGAAGATTCCTACCAGGGATTTTCCTAATACCAGGGAGACATCTAGAAGACACCAAGAAAGGTTTACGTAAAAACCAAAATAGGATTACCAACGCTACTATTTTTAAGAGAACTTTTGTAAATATTTTCCGAGATCATTTGTGCATTGCCTACAAGGGGTTTAGTAGATCTAACAACCGAATTAGCATCATACTACTTAAATGAGATTGAGAGCGACTGAAGTCAGTAATTAGGAAGACGCCGCGTCCTAGACCGAGATGGGAAAACGTTTCGGCCGCCATTATGCCGACTTCCTCAGGGCTGCATGAAACGGGGATAGGGCAATCTCGTGCCCTATATATATATATATAATATGAAGGAATTAGGCATTCACAGTTCTTCATGGTTTCTTGTCATAGTTAATAAGTTGCTTCCTTTATTCCTCTAATACGTGATGTAGCGATAATGTATGTTCTGTGGTCCTTGATACAAAAAAATCGACTGACGCCAAAATGTCTGTATACTAGTCCGTCTGTGTTCAACGCCTAAACCGCCTGTGGCTATCGCCTAAACCGAACAGTCGATTTTCTCCAAATTTGATATTTCCTGATCGATCTGAACGAAATCGATGCGTGGGGAGTTTCAAACGGGTGTTTTGATGTTTTAATGATACTTTTCATGCTTCGTTTTTAAATTTCCTCAAAAATAGACAAGAAAATGTATTAAACTTTATTCTCGGATAGCGCAAAGGACGCTTATGACAATGCTGTAGGTCATATGTCCGTTGAAATCCTGCATTTTTCTAGAATTGCCAAAGTGCAATTTTTTTTCTGGGCCTCTTCCTACAACCGTAATGTTGATGATAGAGATTGTTTTCTTTTTCCTGCTTCGAACTCTTCCCAGACAGGTCCTTCGGAGAGCTTCGCCAAGTCTTTCCGTGACATGGACTACGACGCCATTGCCGACATGACCCCGTCGCACATGTACGTGCGCGAGGAGAACCTTTTCAACGAGTCCGTGCACGAGGTGACACAATCACTTGCTGTTTTAAGGTCCCTTTTCAACATCTTGGTCACATAGCGACCACTGTAATTATTAAACTGTATGGAAAACACGTGCGGCGGCGATGGTGTAACGGTTAGCGTACCGGACTGTTGTACCCAAGTTGGCGGATTCAAACCCGATCGAAGCCGTGGATTTTAAGGGGGAAAATATCCTTCGTACGCCTTCCTTCGGAGGGGGAAGTAAAGCCGGCTGTCCCGTGTTAGTAGATTTACTTGCATGTAAAAGATCCTCAAGCCTAAATGACGCCTCTGAGCTAAATTCAAATCGCCTGTTTCTCGCCCAAGAAATACCTTCTTTCTCTGTTAGTTGGTGAAAGGAGCGTAGCGCAATTTGCGTGGTCAGACGGAAGAGCGAGCCTGATGGCCCGAGTCTCGCCACGTAAAATAAGGCAAATTCAATTCAATTCAAACACACACATTCATGCCCGAGGCGGGATTCCAAACTGAGAGCCTTCGATCCGAGACAGATACGGCCCTTCAGCCTAAGCGACCTGGGTATCCAGGACGGCCATTTTCTAATTTGCATCACCTCTTTTGTCTGAAAAATTAGAAACGTTCGTAAATGTTATATACGAATTTCAAAATAAAATTAGAAATCTTTCGTTCTACACACTCTTGAGAAAAAAATACATGTAAAGATGTACTAACTTAATAAAACACTGGACAAGTTTTTATGACCCATGAAAATTGTTAAAGAATTAATGTAAATGAAATGGATTTTTATTGTATTTCAACATATATTTAAATTAGGGGCATATAGGGGATTGAATATAATTGTATTTCGTAGGTGGTGGGAAATCTTGTCTAACCTGGACGGCAGGAGGTTACATGGTTGCTATTTTTGTTTTATAATTACGGCATTTTGCGGTGTCTTCTAGACATCCCTTTTAAACATTTATTTTGACTCAGAAATATACGCTTCTAGGGCATGTAGGTTAGTGAAGATAACGTTTTGCTACTGAATATGTGGAGGTAAATTTAATATAACGAAACTGCACAAGTAAAATTTGCGCCTGACTGGTAGTCAACATCCACTAATGTTTACCAGGTGCACATTCTGACGCAACCAAAGGCGTACTCACTTTTGTTTACTTCCCCGACAGCAGTGCAAAATAAGTTGCCTACCAATCAGGGGTAAATATAAGTTGTTGGGGCATCCGCTCTCGACCACGACTCGACAGCGACTAAGCCCGCCAGCCAACTCCCGAACTAAAATACGAACTGCTACCATCGTTATTTAAAACGTGCGTGGGTTCTCGGGACGCAAACACACGCGCTTGATACAAAAGTTCGCGCCGCTGTTCGCGCTACCTTTTCTTTCATGCGTGTATTATTATGAATAAACGAATTTTAGAAGATAAAACACATAGTATTTAACTTCTTTTGTAATTTATTTCAGAAATCTCTCATAATCAACATGTATTCGTATTTCTTGACCAATTTTTATGTGCGAAAGTTGGCGAGACTTACCAGCAGCGTATCCAGCGACACTAGCGCATCCTATATGAGCAACCTCTAGCTTTGGCCCCAATTTTGATGGAGAGTTGCCGGGCCCTGCCGCTAGCCAAGCAGCGCGTGGCGGGGCGGCATGTCCGCTTTATTGAATTCTGAGGGTACATAGTATACATCAAAAGTGCATACATTGTAAACAACATGAGCGAGCGCACAGGCCGCGAAGAGGTCAGAACGACATACGCGCCATATCAGGTTAAAACGCACAGCGGTATTGTCGCAGAATAAAACAACATCATAGTCCTGAAAATGCAAAATGGTGAGAAGCGCCGCTACATGCTCGTTCTCGAAAATGGGTCCGATGTTGGCCACGCGTGGGGGCGCCGTGCGCGAACAATGCGCACAGGTACAGTGTGGTGTCGGAATAGACGTAGATCGGTTGTCGCCCGCACTTTCATGTAACTTTGTTAAATGAAATTTCTCATTACATGTTCATTAGCAAAACACTGCCATGTTCGATTAATGATTACGGACGCGTCAACAGTGAAAGTCATTAGTCTCGTAGGTATACTAAAAGGTTTTTCTCGAGAGTGGGCAGCGACCACCGCTCACTGGATGGTGAGATCCGGTGCCGACTTATCTGCCGACTAGTCCGGTTTTCCTCAACCACGAATCTCCTACCAGCGCGACACCACCCCAGCCGGGACAAGCTCTGAGCTCCCGACCGGTATCTCGGCACGTGTTTTAGTGTAATGCATGTAAGTGTGTGTGTGTGTGTGTGTGTGTGTGTGTGTGTGTGTTCGTAAGGGGTGGCGGTAGAAGGAAGAGGAAGACCTATTGCGCGCGGTCCGTGGCCTGTTTGCAACGATACTGCTCCGGCATACGCATATTGATTGGAGAAACCACGGAAAAGTTCCGATCAGAGCAACGGGTGACAAGAATTATCCTTCTGAAAGCAACTGAATTAGACCTATCAAGCTGGTGTCAAAAATCTTGCCACCGCCCGGACTCGAACCTAGGGGTCTCGATCAGAGACACTTTATTGGCATCAGTTGATGCCTTGTGCCCCCTCTCCTGGTTTTATCATCTTCAACACCTTACATGCCCTAGACGTGGGTATCTCTGGCCTAAAATTAATATTTCACACACGTCTAGAAGACACCGCAAGGTATCTCGAATGTCCAGGAATGCCAACCTTGCAGGTGACCATGGGCGACCCCAACCCGTCGCCGCGCCTGGGCCGGCGACTGCTGCGCCGTTACCTGGACGCGGCCGCCCAGCACACCTGCCCGTCCTCCCGCCCCGACAGCAGCGCCCAGCCATGGAAGCGCACCCATCGCCATGCCTCCGCCCCCGCAGCCGCCGACTCCAGCCCGCACGACAGGTGCGCGCTCACACACACGCCCACGCTGGCCGGGCTACGACCGAGGGTAGTGTAGGGCAGGGCTGTCCAACTGGGGGCACGCCGAGCCATTTATTGTGACCCGAGGTTAGTGTAGGGGAACAGTGGGGTTAGTGTAGGGCAGAATTGTCCACCTGGCAGCCCGTAGAGCCATTTATTGAGACCCGGGGTTAGTGTAGGGGAACAGCGGGGTTAGTGTAGGGCAGGATTGTCCACCTGGCAGCCCGCCGAGCCATTTATTGTGATCCGGGGTTAATGTAGGACAGGGCTGTCCAACGGTCGGCCCGCCGAGCCATTTATTGTGATCTATGGTTAGTGTAGAGGAACGGCGGGGTTAGTGTAGGGCAGGGCTATCCAACTGTCGGCCCCCAAGCCATTTATTAAGACCCGGAGTTAGTGTAGGGGAACAGCGGGGTTAGCATAGAACAGTGTTGTCGAACTGGTAGCCTGCCGAGCCATTTATTGTGACCCGCGAAAGGTTAAATCTCCTTGCATCGATGTCGGGAGAGAATATGGCACGTCTAGCGAACGCGCCCTGTCGTGCTCAACACCTATTTAATGTAAAAGTAGGTTGTTTAGATTTAAGAATTTTTTTTCTATTACATTCAAAAATTCAAAATCATCCCAATACGTTTCACTGTTTCATGCTTAGTGAAGGCTAGTAAATAACGCATGGTTTGATACCTTCTCCCCCTCCGGTTTCAGAGCAGCCGGGCAAAATGCCGAGACCAATAATGCTGAAGACAAGGTGTGGATCTTTCGAGTACTGTTAATATGGCCCGCAATTAAAGGTTTAAGTTGCGTCCCTTCAGGCCTTGCAAGTTCAACAACCCTGGTGTAGGGGAACGGATGGGGTTATTGTACACTAGGGGGACAGGATTACACTAGGGTAGGGGTCTTCAACCTTGGCTCCGCGGAATCATAGGGTTCCCAGGAACGGTGTCAGGGTCGCTATGTGCGTTGGTGATCGCTGGAACGTTGACAAGGGACAGGTAATCACTTTTTGCTCAGGCAAAGCACGTTAAATGGTAATCTATGCAAGGGATTTTTCATTTAGGAACGGGATAGTAGACTGTCTTATTACAATATAATATTATAATCAAATTAATTCCGTGGTGGTAGGAAATATCTTGTGATAATCCACAATGTGCTAAGGAAAATAATCATATACAATAATGTATAATTTTCATTATTACATTCCCAGAGTTAACTTTCGGGAAAACACTGTATTTCTTTTGCTTCCTTTATGTTAATTTTTCAACATTCTACTCCTTACTAGAGACCCAGTGAGGATGGGAAAAGTATTTTCCCGAAAGTTAACTCTGGGAATGTAATAATTAATAAAATTATTATACTTTATTGTGAACGATTATTTCCTTTATCATATTAATATTATATTTGTGTAAAAATTACAATATATATATATATATATATATATATATATATATATATATATATATATTAAGAGAGAGATAAATATATTAGATGTAAAAAGTCAGTTAATTGTACAAGCATGTAAGATTAAAGAATTAAAAAAATATAAGGATAACCAAAATATACAAAAATAAGAATATTTTTTTATTTTCAAATTTTGTTTTCATTTTTAGACATAAATGAATTTTGTGACTTTACAGAACTTATTGAAAACATACATATCGTAACTGAAAATCAAGAAATAAATTTGAACGGGTAAAAAAATTCAAAACACTTAAAGATAACCTTCTCTTTAAAAATATTATATCCCTAAACTTTATTTATTTCAGCTATGCTTCAGGTGCGCCTACCCAGTTGTATGAAGAAATTCAGGTAATAAGCCAAAGAACTTTCTCTTTTGTGAAATAACACATGAAAGGTTCTAAAAGAAGTGATACAGCTCCTTAATTATTTTTGTTTTTTCAAAATAATATTACTATTGTTACATTCATTTTTATTCGTTTTTCAATATTTTTTTATAAATAATTCGTGAAATAAGTACAAAATGAATGCTCACAAGTCAATTTAGTCAGTCAAAATACTTCATAAATATTGAAAATACATAAAATATATTGTAGAAGTAAAATATTTACTCTATGAAATAAGAGTGTATGTACATTTGTATCGTTTCTGGACGGAGTTCATTTCACATTCTACTGGTGTCAATATATTACTAACATCTGTAATTGTGGATGGGTTGTAGATGATCACTTGTTTCATTTGATGGGACATTTTAAAAAATGAAGTATCTCATGTAACATTAGATATGATGGGTAGCCATTTCATCATGTATTAGTATTTGGCAGAGACACGAAACCCCTTTATAATAATAATAATAATAATAATAATAATAATAATAATAATAATAATAATAATAATAATAATATTGTGTTTATTTGTGGCGAGGCTCAGATCTTAAGGCATGCTCTTCCGTCTAACCACTTTAATGAATTTACAATTTCAAAAATTACAGTTGAGACGTTCGGACGTAAGTAATATTAACTGACATTTCATGTAAAGGAACATAATTCAATTTGTGTCTGCCTCCCATATGAAATTATCTCTTCGAGCCGTAACTCACAAGTGGATTTATTCTCATTTGTTGTTTATTCTTGACGTTTTGTAAAATGAAATAAGAGACATGATGCAAGGAACATTCTTAAAAATTAGATAAAAGAGAGCTACTACTTATTACATTTAAAACCAATAATTCTAATTTCACCCAAAATGCCAATTGTCATTTTTTATTCCGGAAGTGCCTCAACTGTGAAGAATAAGCAAAAGGAGGGTATCATTTACATTTACCTCTGGGATGCTCTACTAGGGACCATCCCGACATACGCCTTAAGCGATAAGGCGTAAACTAAGAAAAACCTCAATCAAAATGGTGGCTTAAGACTGAATATTGAGTATAGGTGTTGTGGTAGGATATCTTTGGCATTTTTAAAATAATTAAAGATGTTGTCATTGCCAACAATGTTTTTTAATTCAAAAGCAGCTTTCGATGGCTTAGCCATCATCATCAGTTGTCTGATACAAGAAGAAAAACACAAAAACAAAAAACATTAAACGTGAATTAACAACAAGATTATGATAAAGGTTACAATAATTTACAAATTTTTTGGAAAATATATTTGACAACGGGAGAAAGAAAAAGTGGGGGGAGTTAAGCCATTAATACTAAAGAAAAGCGAATGAAAATAAAAATAGGACACGTAAAAATTATTTTTATACAGAAAACATAGAAATGTAAGTTGAGCCGTTCCTTACCTGCTAGATGGAAGCCACAAAACGACTACGCGGGGTCGGGCGAGCCGAGGGCCCCTCCAGCCATCGAAAGCTGTTTTTGAATTAAAAAACATTGTTGGCAATGACAACATCTTTAATTATTCTGAATATTGAGAACAAGATTTATCACAGTTGGTAGTGAGTATAAAAGGAAAGGGAAAAGAGAAAGAAGGGACAAGACGAGAAAAGGAATAGATGATAGTGAAAAGTATTCGAGGAAATAAGAAGGGAACACGTAGTACATATTATAACTTTACAATTACATATCAGACGTTAATTGCGGACATATTCAGCACATAATCTCTAGTTCGGAGCACAAGCATGGAGAAAACCCACGTGAGAACGTGATGTGCTAAACATCAGAGCATGATGATTACCCTAACATTCAGGGGAAAATTCCTCATGTGTAACATCTTTATATGAAAGTTCCCATTGTGTCTGTGTGAGTAAAGTGAATATCATCAATAAATGCATGTAACATTTGCCCTCCATTTATCATGAATGAATGTAAACTCTGCCCTTCCTTCTTCTTCTAATTTATTCACATTTCAGGCATTCTGGTGTATGTGATAATTTCTGACATGAAGTGATAGGATAATGATGAAAGTTGAAGGGTGAAGGGATATTACACATACATCCATTCCCGAGGCGGGATTCGAACCCGCGATTCTTCGACCCGACACTTCTGCCTTAGCGATCTCGGCTTCCCGAATCGACCAATTGTAATTATATAAATGAAAATATTTAAGTGATTAGGCGGAAGAGCAGGCCTTACAACCTGAGCCTCGCCAGAAATAAAGACATTATTATTATTATTATTATTATTATTATTATTATTATTATTATTATTATTATTATATCAATCATGCACATGCCCATATGAAGATACCACACGAATAAAAAAGATCTAAAATCTTCTTGTAAACAAACAAATTGATCAAACTGAGGTTTTTCCTACCCGAAGAAATTATTCATTTCAGTTGTCCCGTAACATGCGAGCATTAAATCTACCGGAGGAAGAACGTTGGAACATCTTTGAAGACATGTCTTCGGTAATCAGTAAATTATAAATAACTTAACGACCGAAGGTGTTGCTTTTTATTTTCAGAAATAATTCACGCTAAAAGGCGTATTTCATTTATAAAAAAGAAAAGACCGAGTTGAAAGACTCGTATAATCCTTTTTTACTTTAATAAAATAACTGAATTACTGAAATACTTTTTTATTTTTGTAAAAATGTATTAAATCATTGTATTTATTGACATATGTTTTATAAATTATGTTGCATCTAAAATTATTTTTTTCTCTATGAAATGAATGTACACAGCCTGGCCTAATATACGTAGATATGCGTTTAATAGCATGAGTGTTGATATTTCACTGTTTGCAGGTATTGTACAAAGCTGTACTTATTTCGTCAGTTAAGATTTACAAAATGAAAAATGTTACTGATAATCGAACTTGATAGAAAGTTTGCAAAAAAAGTATTCAACCTGATGTTATTTTGTATTTTAAAAACTGATATATCTCCCATTGTTTTACTAATTAAAAGTATGAAAACTAACTAACGTATCTGTCATAGATGAATGCAACAGATCGAAACTCTCCTTTCACACCACCCTCAGAGCAAGAATCGAATTTTAGAAACCGCTATAAGCCACGACCACCACCGGTACGTTTTTCATGGTTTTAATCGATTACTTATTTTAGTAACTTAGTTCATATTCCTATCGTTTCCCTTAAAAATACACACTTTAGTTGTTTGATTTTTATATTTGTATGTTATTTGGCGATTATTCAACTTTGTAACTCTGGGGAAGGCCATAACATATTAGCCGAAATGTTACTCCAGAGAAGCGACTTGTCCCGGATAGCCTAGATAATACAACTGTCCTCAAAGCACGTGCTGCATTATAAATTAATTAGTAAGTGTGCGTTAAAACTTAATTGTTGTGTAAATTAAAATTCCGGTTTTCGTACTACAAGATCTACATCCTACTTATAGATGCTAGTTTATTGTTCGTTTACTACAATAATAACATAACTCAAAATTAGGCAACATCGAATTTTTAGTACAAAGAAAATAATTTTATAGTTGTTTGTAGTGGTAGAATGGCAAAATCTTGTCTTGCAAATTGAATAGCAAGAGTTCATTTCTCGGTGTTTCACCTATTTCATACATGAAAAAGTATTATTCTCCTAAACAACCAGTTATTTGAATTATGCTAATGTTCAAGCTATTGAGGGAAATCTTATTGAGTCAAAATGTGTAATGTGTTGTGTTTTGTTTCAGCGCGCACTTACTGCAACAAATTGGCGTAGTCAGGTAAGGGCAGAAACGCAATGTGGGTGACATGGTAGTGTAATAAGTAGTTCTGAGAGACACGAACTTTCATGTGTAAATGTTTATTTACAACACATATTGCAAGTATTTACCAGCTGCAAGGTTCTTGTAACTATCCCACCAGCGCACTTGCTGTGTCCCGTCTTCCCCTCCGTGGGCGAGTAGTTTTGAAACTTAGCATCACCATGTGCGAGGTACATTAACCTTCCCCTACAGAATATAACAAATCTCTGTATGTTGCATAACTTAATTTTACCGATCGCTCTATTATGTCATGATATGCTTCTTTGAATATCCATCGAAGTTTTAAAGTTATTAAGATTTATTTCGTATACTCAAAATAGTAACATAGACGTTCGCATCTTTCAACTTTGCCCATTGCATTTTACGTTCGTGGCGCGCCGTAAACATGAGTTATGTGAACGTAGACTTAAACATTCATTAGGGAAACGTGACAGACAAAATGTTGGCAACACTAATAAGCAGCCGCGTGTCCTAGGCAAACAAGTCTTCTTTTGATAGACCTTAGTTTCTCACAAAGCTAATTTATATCTCTGGGTTGTTACAGCCTCACCCTCCCCGACGCCGCAGAGGTTCATTCAAGTCAAGAACCGGTCCTCTAACTCAACCGAGAAGACTATTCCAAGATGATTCCTCTACGGAATTAGACGATTTTACTGACGTAAGTACGTTAATAATAAATTGTTGGTTGGTTGTTGTTTTGTTTCCAGTTAAAAACGAATTTATAGTGTTTTATATATCTTTTTTGTATTCAAGCAGTATAGATAACATTTTGCGTCTCGATAATTCGTTCATAAAAGGGCATCACATGGCACAGATTATGACGTATTTGCCGTTAATGGCACGAATAATTGCGTCATCACACATTCAGCACAGTCGCAGCGAGAGAATCGGGGGGAGGTAGTGGCAAACGGAATAGCCGACCATCGTTTTCTGGCACAGATGTCAAAAACCCGTGAAGTCATAATAGATTGTTTTCCAAAATTAAGATTGATTGTCTTATGAATTTATGATGCTGTAATACGTACGAGAACAAAAAATAGTGTATGCTATTCGTTTAAAATATTGCTTTATTGCATTCATACAAATTTGAAAACTCATTCCTAATGTCAAAATGTGTAGTCATGCAAATAGGCTTAACATTACAAACTAATTCAATAAACTACTATTATGTTCCTAGTTATGTAAGTGAATGCTCAAAAGTCCCATACCAATGAGAGGGATTAATGATGGTGCTGACCGTCCTTAATGGATTAAGCATATACATTAATGATGGTCCTGACCATGTGATGCTGTTTCAATACATTAGAAAGTCGATTATCCAGATGTCTATTAACAGGGCCGTCAATTATCCGGAATGTTTTTTTTTTTATTTGTAAAGTGAGTTACATTTTTTGAGTGGAAAATCACACAAGAGTTTGCAAAACTTGGGGTTTTATTTTAGTATTTTACACAATAAACACACTGTTATTTCTTGACGACAGAACATTAAAACGTTAATTTTAGTATTTTAAACGTTTATTAGTTTAAAATAAGTTGTTACTTATTTTAGAATATTTTAATTCGTATTCACTGTTTTTGTAGCTCAGATTCTTAAATTGTATTTGAATGTATAAGGTGAGTGTATGTGCGCGTATATTGTTTCCCGATTTCCTGGCTTCGTTCTCTCTGTTATAATTGCGTCGATTATCCTGGCAATTTCAGTATCCGGACAAGAGCTGGTATTGATTAATCCGGATAAACGACGCTCTAATGTATCCTTGTTGAGGTAAGGAGATAATCTTTCTTCTTTTTTAGAACTTTTATTATTAGAACCTTTCTGAACCCTTAGGTATTCGAACCCAATGCGTGACGTGTCAGGCTTCGGACATGTCACGTTTGTTGACGTGTGATACTTATTGACTTGTCACGCTTGTGGCATGTAGAAGATCACTAGCTGAATATCTAGAAAAATTTAATCCTCCAAATCCCGCCCTATTCAAATCTCAAATATACTTTGCACGGTCAGGAAGGAAACGAAGTTGAATCATTCGGTAAAGTTGAGAGACATTGTGGTGCCAAATAACCATAAGTCCCATTAATTCAGCCCATGATGAGAGTGATCCAATGAACATATTCTAGTACTCAGATATTGCAAAAAAAACAACAAACTATTGGGTAATGTTCCTCTTGTTTTAAAAGTCAGGAAATTTATTTTATGCTTTCAGAACATCTTCAGCGAATCGGAGACTGACGTATTTACACCTGAGCAGGCGAGTGTATACATACAGTCAAATTACTTCAATGCTCCATTTGGTATAATATTTGTATTATTCTAAATTTTCAAAGTAGTGAGAAAAATATATTAATTTTTTCACTACTTTGGGTATATCATAGATGTATATCGGAGCGTATCTGAAGGAACGGTAATTAAACACCTTTAGGACTTACAAAAAGCACTTACATTGACTACAACCTACAGGTTTTACTTATCGCTCCTGACATTTAGATCAGAGGTTCTCTTTGTTGCAGAAAAGCTGCAAAAAAGACTGTGAATTACGGCAGAATAAAAAACCTAAGAATACATTTGTCGTTAAGAGACATCAAACTATTTTTTTTTCTAAACTAAACTACCAGAAAAATAAGAGATATTAATACATTTTATACAGTATTTAATTGAAGAGTATGTTTGATGCTGAATCATAGGTTTTACTCTATTTGTTTAAATCTTACAATCATTAATAATTTTCATTTGAAAATGCTTAAAAAATGTACGTAATGTTAAGTAAAAATACAGTAAGTGCATTCAATATCATTAATTAACGCTTGAAGTATAGAAATATGTTTTTGTATTCGGAAGTGACATAGAGGGTTCACACAATAACGAGTACTCGATTAGTTTCCAACACTTTCCCGGCAGGTGTATTTTAGGGAACTTAATAATTCACGGGGGTCATTGAAGTTGTTTACTTCATTGAAATATTTTTTGAAATTCTAACAAAAAGTTCAAGGTGTTGCTTTATTTGAATCATATGCTCCTAAGTGATACATTGCGCTTCAACATGTAAAACGTCCCATGGTTCGATTGTAAAAACCGAAGTTCCCTGAAACACACCAATGTTCGAAACTAATTAAGTACTGTATCATGTGTGCCATTGTATCACATATAGAAAGCCAAATGCCGTCTGACGTTACTTTAGGCATCAACTGATGCTGGAGAATGCCTCTGATTGGGAGTTCTTAGCGTTCGAGTCCTGACATTGCAGGAGTCGACTGCGCACCATTGAAACCTAGTACCGTCTGCTCTCAAAAGAGGGCGACGACAGCCGTCGCGGCGCCGTCACGCGCGACTAGGCACCGAAAAAGGAGGCACCACCCCTATCCGGGAGGACCCTCAGCCCCAGCGGGCTCTAAAGCAGCGGGCAGAGGGCAGTTGAGCGCCTACCAGCAGTATCGAGTGCATCAGTGAATTGTGAACAGTGTTAGAGGAAGAGCAAAGTGTACGGACTCTCTCTCGGACAGATACTTTGGTGCTACGGCTAATAACTTTGGACATCTCCCTGGGCAACGGTGACTTTGGCATACACTGATACATATTCAGGAAAATTGTTGTATCTGGCTTGTATATGGTTACTCTGTACTGGTGTGAGATCAGAATAAATCTATTTTTTTAAGAAATTACGTTTTTTTGGACATAACAGACATAGCAGACATGCTGAACGTACTAGGTAGCCATTTCGGATTTTGTCGCTATCCAGAAGAGAACTCCAGCGACCAATTACACTGAACTATAGTTTTATGTGGTATCACTTATCAACAATATGCGAATGTCCGAGTAGTATTCAAACAAACGGGTCACAGACCGCGCATAATCATGTCTTCCCGTCCCTTGTCATACCCTTACTCACTTGCACTTACATGCATTGCACTTTACAACCCAGTAGACCAGTCGTGGGCTTAGAGCTTTTTCCGGCTAGAGATGATGCTCCGCTTGTATAAGATACCTAAATGAGGAAAATCCTCCAAATTGACTTAATGGTCGGCGCCGAATCTCACTGCCCAGCGGGGGAGAACACCAGACCCCCGCGATAAAAAACATGCACTACACTTACGTAATACCCATTTCAGTAGACGCTGGCGGAAACACTAAATACTCTCGTTTTTCGTCCGCAGCGTGTGGAGGTGTGTGCGGTGCCGACGGCGGGACCGCCGCCAGGCGTGAGGGTCCGACCCGAGCCCAGCCCTGCGGCGTACGTCTCCTCTGTGCCCGGCCCGTCGGGGCTCCAGCCGCCGCCCCAGTTCTCGCCCTCCTGTGCGTAGACCCCTTTTCACATATTCATTTATTCGTTTATTCGATTATTCATTGTTTATATGACATTCAAAACTGCATTGAAATCGTTCTTTCATCGTTTATTATTAATGGTGCATCCACTAAGAATTTTCCTTATAAACGTTTCATTTGTGCTTTGGAAGTTCATACTAAAAATAAACTCTAAAATTATTACAGTCGTCTAGCTCATCCATTTTTAAGTAAAGAAATTTGCATGAAAAAGTGACGTTAACATTTTTTTAAATAATATTTAATAGTCAACTTGATAATAATCAGGATTATTATATGTGTATAATATTGTTTGTTTAATTAAAAATTAATTATCGTCAAGCACATGAATTAAGTCGCAACGATTCTTGTAAATGCTGGAAGGAAAGTACACTAATTCACGATTTACAAATTTTGTATTTGTTTCATTTGTATTATCGTATTTATTTTATTTGTATTATCAAATTTTCAAAGATGCATTGAAACTATAAAAAAACTGTGTGATTTTCTAGAATTAATTCAAAATATCCTAGAGGGAACTAATAATTTAACAAATCAATGTTTTGCTGAGAGGAATTCAATTAGTCACTGTTCACCTCAGTAGGTGCGAATAGTTACCCGGAACTGGTTTTATTTATTTGAAAACCTAGGAAACCACTAGTTTTTAAAGAGATTTTTAGAATTAGGTTGACGGATCCACAAAACAAATGACCAATTCTCCACCAGAAGACCGATTCACGTTGAATAACATTTTACTTCTTTCTTTTGGTGAACCGAAAGAGGAATAACCGTGAATGAAAGGCGGTCGGACGCAGATAACTCCATTACTGCACATGGATTTGTTCTTCCGAAACCAGTTTGGAACATCAAAAGTCGTACTACTTATTGTTTCTTTTTTGCAACGAACATTCATGTCATCAGCAAACAGAACTGTTCTTCCGTTTCTAATGAACGAGAGCATATGTTTCACGTATAAATAAAATATGAGGTGACCTAATTTCAAAATCTGACCAACTAACTGCTGCTTTTTTGCAACGAACATTCATGTCATCAGCAAACAGAACTTCTTCCGTTTCTAATGATCGAGAACATATGTTTCACGTATGAATAAAATAGCAGGTGACCTAATTTCAAAACCTGTGGGACCCATGCTCCAATGACAAAGAATTGGGAAGATGAGTAAGCTATGTTATTTCGTGCGAGTGCAGTACTTCTACTCCTTGCGATAGATATTAAGGTTCCGGGATATGCGAAGAATCTGAAAACTCTTCGTTATTCCCGAGAAACAGTTCGGTTCGTGTATAGATAAGTCTAATATTTTTGAACAAATTGATAAAATAAATTCATTTTGAATTTCATTTTTA